TGTTGGATTTTGTGAGGAGCCTAGGAGGTTAGGGTTTAAAAATTCGGCAGACTGGATGCTGTAAAAGACTTCAGGCATACTCACCTGATACCCGCAGGTACAAGGGAAGAAGTTAATATCATCTATCTCCAGCGGTTCCATGCACAGGGGACACTGACGACAGAAAAGAAGAGTGATCACAGCAATTACAAATTAATACTGAAATACAGTAACGCTTCTGGCAAATGAAATGAATTCTTTGGAAGTGCACATACTCTTATGTAGGGCTTGGGACTAGACAGCCGAGAGCCACTGCTAGCAATCATTTAGAATGCACATGACAAGGTTACGGGTTTGTGCACATTAAGATGAAAATTGTGCGTACTTAGTGCATGCAGGCGATACGTATCTGATCATCCAACAGCGCATTTAGCGCCAATTACAGGACGATAATGAGTGATGTGGTACATCGGAGCCATGTCTAATCACACGGCACCATCTACAGTTCCTCCACGGACTCCCTTTGCCCATCAGCGAGTGATGAGCCCACATCAATACCAAGGTGTTCATGCAGAGATCTTCCAACTTGAACTGTGTCAGGGACAACAAGCTCAGTGCATAGTACATATGTGTTACGGGGGGTTGTCGAGTCTTGAACCCAACAGCAACGTTTCAAAAAACAGCGACAGGTAGGCCCAATGCCACAGAGCTCCTCAAAATCATGTACTTACAGGGTTCCCACGGGAATCTGGAAAAACCAATTTCCGTGACTTTTCCAGGACTAAAATATGACAACTTCCATGACATTTCTGTGGCCTTTCCACAGCTTTTGTCCCCTCTGACAACAGGATACCGGGCCACCTCACTTCTCCCACTTTTCCCACAATCTTCCCGGAACTTTCCAGGACAATGTTTTCAGGAGTCTCCATGACAGTGACAACCCTGACGCGGCAGAGAAAATATCTACATGTACCTCAAGAAAACAACTTACTGGGCAAATCGTCACAATGTGTACACTTTTTTGCGACTGGACTTCTGGTAATTTTTTTTGCTATCAGTAAATTGAAAAATCATTTGGGTAAATTTGTGGGCAACAAGGGGACCTGCCAGGTGAATAAAGTGAGGAACTGGGGTGTTTCAAAAAACAAACAAATAGACGAAGTTTTAGGGGTAAATACAAAAGGGACAGTGCTTACATCATCTGGTTCGTGGATGTTGTTCACGTTGTTGCCTGCTGCTTCTGGCTTCATGTTTGGCGATTCGTTTTTCTCTTTCTTGGAGTCCTCAAAGTAGAAGGAATACAATGTGCTTTTATAAAGTACTTCTGGCTCTGAAAAGTAAAAAAAAATGGATAAGAAAACCAACTTTTAAAAATTTCAGATTCTTGTGGCATTCACTGTCTCGTCCAGCCACCCAGACCTGTCCTGAGAACACGTAAAGATTATTCAGGACAGGCAGTTTTTGCTTCAATTACAAAGTTACAGAATCCCTTTCGTTTCACAAATCTTTTAACATCCATGCATTTAAATCTTTACAATCCCATCCCCAGCATTTGGCAGTGTAGATACCATGGGCTCAGACAGCACCATGGGCATGAGTTTACAGAGGTCTGCAAGGAGTAGTCAATTTTTTTTTTTACACTGCGTGACAAACGGCAAGCAGATGCCTCAAGACCTACATGAACATGTCAGGACTCTGATTAGCCACTCGATCGGACGCTAAGATTGGATAGATCAGAAACAGGTTTTTTACTCCCATTCCATGAACGGGGATGAGATTGACCAATGATAAAAACAGCTGAAAAAAAACATAAAGAAGCTGAACTGTGAAAATCTCCTACACTTTTGTACACAGCCAGGGAGGAAAAAAAGCTGAAATCCCACAAAAAAAGCTGATATCAGCTGAAAAACTGAGAAATCTCACCCCTGCACATATCATCCCTTTTAAAAATTACCCTATATAAAGGATTTTTCAGTAATACTCTAAAACAAAGAACTGCACTTTCACAAATATAAAGGACAGTTGACTTGAAGTGTGACTGCCAATCAATGATGACTGGATTAAATACACGTACCAAGCATCTTTACACTGCTTGACAGCTACAAAATAGAAAAGCAATACCTACACATACATGTACATATGTTTATATACCTTTGGGCGTTTGCCAAATGTCAAATATGCTTAGAAGATAAAAATCAGAATCACACAGATTTTCAGTACCTGTTCTGGACACACAAATGTTCTGTGACAGGCTAAAAGCCACTGCACTTCATTTGTCAATCTATACTTCAGCTGTTGAATATAACAGGACGGCTGACAAGATGGAAGTTTACATTCAACAATGGGGTATATATGTACACAGTTTTAAAAATAGAAATTTAAATATTTTTCCTTTGTAAATCATTTCCTGTTGCCGTTCCAGAAGCTAGAGTTTGTCTTTCTTGGTTTAGTTTGCTCACAAAAACAGTTGTTCTGGAAACGCTAAACAAATGTGTGTCATGTTGCACAATAGGATTTCCTGGTAAGCGCACTTGTGTATGTTGTGACGTGTACACGTACACGTATCTTCCCATTTGTATGAGGAAAGAGGAGGGTCATGAAATACAGGGGAAAGTGGGGGAATTTGGAAAGGATGCAATGCCATTCCTCAGCCACTGATCATCAGTCATTGAAATGTTATGGGGAAAAGACAGAGTGGAGCCGGCTCCCACCCAAATACAGAGATCCTCTTTGTGGAGTCAGCAGCGGTGTTTCCCCTGTCAACTCTCATACGCGAGGCAGCCCACCTCACGACTTTTTGTTACCTCTAGTTTTTTAGCCAATACTGCCGCCTTGCTGGTGTAAAGATGAAATTATATCACTGGGATCCGTGGCATTCCTTTTCTCATAAATGTATCCGTTTTCTTCAATATTTCCCAGTCTATCAATTTGTTCTTGTTGTATGGCGAGATGTAAGTGAAGTTGATGGGTGGAAGGCCATTTTGCGTCAAGTTTCAAAACATTCGGGAACAACTCCTAAACTTTTGAAATCATGTGGAGCATGCAGTGCTGCCGCACTGGATTCCGTCTCTCGAAGTATTGATGCGTGAACGATGATGGAAAGGCAGGGAACCGGTCTAGAGCATTAGAACCCCCTGACAACAACATAGTACATGTATATCTGTCTAACAACAGCATAAGGAACATCACACAATCATAGCTTGAAATGGATTGAAACTGCTGGAACCCCTGGTGAGGATTTCTTTGATATGAGCAACATTGTACACAGTCAATAAATTTGCTGCAAGTGTTTGTGTGTAGAGCGTACATGTACATTTTCACTTTTCAAGTATTTCGAAGACAAAATGCTTGTGTTTTCCACGAACCCAGCCAAGCATGATTTTCAGTTTGACTTCACCGTGTGTGCACACTGGTGTCCCGCTTGAATGCCCAGTTCAATTTCCTCCCTTTTTTACCAGCTCACATTCATTGCTACCTCAGGGGAAACCCTGGCGTAATCTATTGACGTCATCGGGGTTGGAACAACTTTCCAATAGTTGAAATCTCTACCTTGTTTTAAAGTCATGTCACCCGTTTGTCACTTTGCTCACACCTTTTCTCAAAATTGAAAAGAAAGGAAGAAAGAGAAAGATAATTCTCCAACCCCTCCAGAAGTGGTGGTCCTAGAGGACGCCATATACCCCACCTACTAGCTCCGTGAAAGCTGCCCTATCCTGCACTTTCACGTCTGAGTCGAGTCCAAACGGAACACGCCTCATGCAAATGCCCAAGCACATCGACTGGGTTGAACATCCCACACTTGTGCCAGCCAAGGACACTGCACATGTTCACGCCTCACACGGCCAAGTTGTCTCCTTGTCAAATTCGACTTGTCTTAAATGACGACTTTGTGCACGGTCGAGTTGTTCCTTCAGTTTAGTGGTCTCAGTGGTCGAGTTGTCCCAAGCAGAGTTGGCAAACCGTCCAGTTGCCTGGCTTCTGTGCTAAGTCGGCATAGCCAATTCTTTTGGGATCTCATTCTTCTTAATAGGAACTTGTGATAAAAATTTGTCTTTTTCTGCATGCTGTAGCTTCTCTATTTATATTTATAATTTTAAAACTTTTGGAATTTCAAGTAAAGCCAGCATTTAATTTACCGAAATACACGTTAGGCACAATTACAAACATGACAAATAAGAACGCTTTTCAGTCAAACTCCACAACAATTTTTTTGTGCACAAAATAATAAGAGATTGCTCTGCATTACACGTGTTCAAAAACATCTCAAAACATCCCTGCTTAAAATCAATTTTTCTTTGCTTTGCACAGTCTGATCAAATCTAAACTTAGGCCTGTATCGACATGATCGAAATGGAAAATAAGTAACGAAATGTGGGTAGGCATGGTTGGAACATGATGTTGGGGTCCGGGAGTAGACCTAGCCCCTAGCTGCTGACTGACCAGCTGATCCTCGTCAATATCACTTCAAAAACAACACTGACAGTTAGGCCTACTTTCCCCCCAACTTATTGTATAACGTCAGTGTGGAATGAATATCCAACTGTTAACAACGAAACAGGAATTTCCCCAAGCTGAAATACACTATGCCGTACGTTCTCTGCGTGTGACGTTAAATTTAATTAGCCAATGTCGCTGACCAGGCCCACACAAAAGTGAAAAGTTTACAATAAGGAATACACATCCATGACGTTGAGAAACAACTTAAATTCTTTCAATGAACTCATCAAAAATAAAACAAATTATTTAGTAGTTCAGATATTCCAATAAAATTTGACGAAGTACTGACACAGTCAAGGGAGAATACTGAAACATTTCGTCCAAAAGGCGATATTTACTTACGAGAATTTGGAGTACAACAGCGGGAACCGCAACCAGATCATGGGTTTTTGCAAGTGCGCGTGCGCAATGAAAATACCCCGGATGACGCAAGAGGCATTGTGGGTAAACATGGCCGCGCCCTGAGCGACAAACGATGTCTTAGAATTCGTGTTTATGTCTCAAAAAAGGAGAAGGATTTTGCGGAAATTCGGGAAGAAATAACCAATTTGCGTGTAGCAAAGAGTGTTTTGACGAACATCTAACCCTCTCCCTCAAGATGTCATTTAAAAGGGACGGAGATGATCAAAGTCAGCTAAATTTGCTTAAGGTAGGCAGCGACCTACATCATACATCATATTAGTTATTACTACTGATGTAGGCTAAGCAAAACAAGTTGACTTGTATGTAACAATGTATATGACGACCAGAGCATGCATCTGGCATGTCTAGCGCCAAACTAGCCCCACACATAGGGCTGTAGTGGCTGTCTTTTACAATCTGTCTTTCATCTGTAGCCACCACAAAAGAGAGCCACTACAACCCTACGTGTGGAGCTACATGTAGTGCCAGACCAGGCTAATGACTTATCGCCAGTAAACCTTTTCGATGTTTGCAATGCATTGTGGGTCATGTGGGTGTGGATGACAAACATGCAATGCATTTTATGCACAACTCTAAGGGAGAAATGTACCAGAAAACATTAAATCTGTTTCCAATTCAAGCCACCCCTGCTGACAAAGTGTTGCATTATTGATTTGGGATGAAGATATTCACAAACTTCAAAGTTTAAAGCTTGGCAGAGAAGGAAAATGTGGAGAATCCCTTCCAACAACACCACTTTTTGTCACGGACTGTGCTTTGACTACTTTGTGGATATTAATGTTCTAGTGTTCAATCAAATTATGAATTGTAGCTCATTCATCCCGCTTTGACCAGTCACGTTCATTTTCAGCCTGTAGCATGACTGGTGCCCGTAAAAAAGGCAATTGAGCTTGATTTGGTCTTAAAAACATTTGGAAACCTATTTGAAAATGTTTCTTATATAATCTGATATATAATACGCATGCATATGTGAGTTGATGAGCAGATGCATAAAAAATATTTAGCAGAAAACTGTAACTTGATTTTTGACTGGTTCACTTCCCCCGTAGGGTCTTGCATAAAATGCAACGCTTGTTTGTCATCCAAACCCATTATGCATTGCGAACGTCGAAAAGGTTTATTGTCGCGGTCGGAGGTTGTTCCATTTTATTGCACTCATATTTGGGCAAAGGGGTAGATCTTCATTCATTTTGTACAGGGATTGGCATGTTTTCCTCCTTTTTTGCTGCAACATGATGAAAATAACTGAAACCTTTTCAGTCATGTTGGTCAGCCGGTATGTGTGGGAGATAAGCATGATAGGCTTAGTGCATAACAATAAAATTTCAGGCATAGGCCTATTTGATGTAAAAGTTAAGAAATTAGTCAGTAATTCAGGTTTTCCCTATAGACCACAACACTTTTTTTGCCCCTTTGAGTTTTGAGTGGATTGACCAATCAGAGAGAGGAATTAAGACTCAGTGACGTCATCTCGACCGTGGGATTACTGCATGAGTGATTTTGCACAAAGGGAAGGAAAAAGGGCCAATGCCTTGCTACATGCTGTGAAAAATCAGCCACGGAGTAGGCCTATCATGCCTATAAGGCTTATTTCGGACATCACGTTGGCCTGCAAGTCATACATGTAGTCCTAAGGCTACGTCAACTACATAATGTGTCATGCGTTTCAAGCGCAAACTTGGCCTCCACACGCAGGCCTTCTTGCACGCGCAAAGTTTAACTTTGTCGAGGTCTGCTGGTCGAGGAAAAATAGCTAGGGGCCCAAGCCCAAGTCCCCAGACATGCCTGAAATACTGGACTGCACATGTTCACTTGCCATGCTGCAAAAAATGCAAAAACAAATCAGTGGTTCACGGTCAAATATCCACTCCCGTTACAGTATCAATTTCTCATATGAAATCTCCAACTTTATTTCCCCTGTTCAAAACAACCTTCTGCAGCCGCTAATTGGCAGAAAAGGGTAGGCCTATTGGCCAAATCAAACCAAATTAGCCAAATCATGCAATAAGACATGTATGCCTACATGTAAGAGCAATAGATCAGGTGCAGATCAAGTGATCAAGCAAATATCTGCTTGATTGATCGATAACAGCCAACAATTTCACATCTACATTTAAGGCTGAATCTGCATGCACAAGTACCATCCATGCAACCTGTTTGGCTGTCCTGTGCAGATGAGAAACCTCGGACCTGTTAAATGCGGTTGTGCTACCGGTATTTAGCATCAACAAGCATCCACAGAGACACGTACAAAGTAGCATCAGCAAAGCATCAACAACTTGAAAATACCAGCAAACTATTTAAAAGTGGTTCTGTCGTATGTTAGAGACTCTAACATCTGCCACTGTGTAATAGAAACAGCGAATTTGCTTCCAGATTCTTGAAGAAAACCAAACATTTTTTGCTATGTATCCGGGCCGCCATCTTTCTTTTCTCTGTCGTCCACACAAAAAAGAAAATGGCAGTCAGTCGGGCAGTATGAGCAGGCTCGACTCTGTTGCTCAATTTCATGCTCAAAATATCATTTTAGATAAATATGATACATTGAATATGATATGTTGGTGCCTAGTTAATATTGTAAATATACAATTTTTGCATAGATAGGCTTTAATAAATTGTTGACCCTTTGTTGACGCTCATTGACGCTTGTTGACGCCAAATAGCGTGACCCATTGAACGTGATGGTGAATGTAGTGCCTGACAGCGAAGGATTTTTGTTCTTCAGAAACGCCGTGTATCAGACCTGCTGGCCGACGACATACCTGAGGATGAAGCATTGCTGATGAGTAATGGAAGGTAAAGCAGTGTGTGGTGTGGGTTCACAGAGCCAAAGATGATCGTGTTAGTCTTAGGTCTCTCTTAGTTTGAAGAAGCTCAAACATTAGGAAGAGAAAGCTGCCGAAAGAAGGTGAAATCACATCCAATCCAGGGGCCAATTTCATAGAGCTGCTTAAGCAGCGAAAAATTTGCTTAAGCGTGAAAAATCCTTGCTTGATAAATAAGCTTACCAGCCAAAATTCCATGTGATGTATATTGTTATGGCATGGTATTCACCTGTCTTTCGGTTAGCATGACAGTCACATAGATTTTGAGGTGGTAACTTTTGTTTTTTAAGCAAGTTTTATTTGCGCTGAAGCAAATTTTGTGCTTAAGCAGCTCTATGAAATTGGCCCCAGGCCTGCCAACCTAGTCGTACTCCTTCCTGAGGTCAGGCATTACCACACAATAGATTAACATTTTAAATGAAGTGAAGGCTCATCTAAGAGCTTTTAATCTGTTGTGTGGTAATGCCTGACCTCAGGAAGGAGTACGGCTAGGTTGGCAGGCCTGGGAGTCACAGCTAGACATTGAGGACTACCTCGGTGAATGGTAACAGCTATCAAAGAGACTCCCGTACAGTGTATGTTGTTCAAAACAGAGGGCGATACCAGGCATGCCAGGCAAGGTCATCTTACATCTTAGTGGCTCAAGGGCAGGTTCTGGGGAGGGGGCAAAGAGGTCCCCCAATTGGACCCCCCACCAAAAAAAATGACAGGCGAATTGGTTTTCCTTTATTTCAGTTCTCTTCCTCGCCAAATTGTAGCATCAGCCCCTAAACAGGCCGTAAAAGATTACATGATCAGATTTGGGGGAAAGAGTTCCGTATACGGACATCACTTGATACCCCTGTGTCCTTTTTAGGACATGTCACGACTTTCCGATGACTGTTGTAACATTTTAAGGGAAACTTGGTGTTGTCCGTACATGTACATGTATATGGATATCTTCCCAATTTTTGCCCTCCCCTCCAAAAGAGCCTACGATCCCCCGCCCCAAAAATTTGATTCTGGAGCAACCCTCGTAATTGCAAAACTGACCAGAATGCGCATGTTGAAAACGAATGGCTTTAATAACTTGCTAACGTTGGAAACGCATTTGTTACGACAGGTATGCCTGCACCGTATGTAGCCACCGGCCCGTGTTGGACACAATAGCCATGTTGTTGGTCCACCGACAAGGCAAGAAGCATCAGAGCTGTGAGTCCCAAACTGCTTTTAATTTTGACTGATTGACAATTCCAATGCACCGCCAAGTCCTTGCTGCAAAATGAGGCCACAGTTCACTTTCATTCTCGACATTATTTCGGAATTTCCTCAGGATGTCATTAAGACAGACCTGTAAAAATGAAGTAAAACTGTCAGCATATCTCGACAAAAAAAAATCTGGAAAAAAATTAAGTATCCATTGAAAGCAGCGTACATGTATGCCCCATGTCCACCGTCAGTGTCAATGTACATTACTCTTCACCATATGTTCCAGCAGCGACATGCTTCCAGCACGGTCCTTGTGATTTGAAGACTTGTTCCACCCTGCATTTGGCAGTGCTAAGCAAGAGTTCTTCCTTTAATTCTAGGGTCGTGGGTTTACAGGTTTTTTTGGAACCGGGTACCCAATATGAAACCTGGCTTTGATATCAACGGGCGGGTACTCGGGCGCACAGCAAAGGCCTAGTTTATTCTGTCTTTTTCTTGAGTAGATGTGAGGGGCTACTATGCCAAGAAACAGGACTTGATGAAAGAAGTCGAGAAAAGGAAACAACAGCTCTACCTGAAACAGCAAGAGCAGAGGGGAATATCGCAGGAAGAGGTGAGAAACGGCACCTAGCAGACAAGACAAAAACAAGCAAACCGGAGGAAAGAAACTTGACAACAAATAGAAATTGACTAATGACTGGAGGAGCCATTGGTGATAGCTGTTCTCATGCTTGAAGGGAAATCTGCATTTTTGTCAGTCGCAACGTGTCGTTAGTCGTAGAGCATTTAACGTGTTTGTTTATAACTTGCACGTGACAGGAATGGCTTCTACCTACCATGGGTGTTGTGACAGGGGCCTCTCAGGGAAAAAAAATTCAAAAATAAAAAGTAAAACAAAAAAAAAGCAAAAGAAACCAAAACTACAAACGATGAAAGAGGATGAAAAACACTTATTAGCTTTTAAAACAACCTCTCAAGACGAACCCCTTCCCACTGTTAATTGTTTATCAGTTTATGGCTGATGATTACTCCAACCCCTCCCCCCCCAAAAAAAATTCCGGTGGCACCCAAGGCTTGTAAGTCTGGTTGGCGGATTGTAAGAAATTGTCAGATGATTTTCAGCGCGTACGTGAACCGATTAATCAACAGGGTTCCTGGGCCTGGAACAGTCATGGAAATTTGTTTTTCTTTTTCAGGCCTGGAAAAGTTATGGAATTTTGTAAAACGTAACTAAAGCCATGGAAAAGTAATGGAACTTTTCAAACACTGTGCGTGTTTTCCTTTATCAGAAATATGTGCATAAAAAAATTTAAAAGTCTGAATATGCCAAGAAATTGCATTACTGGGTCATGGATTTTCATAATTTGGTCATGGAATTTAATGGTTCTTCAGGTGTAGGAACCCTGATCAAACGGAGGCTGTCTGCATATTAACCAGAGTAAAGCCTGTCGTACCTTTCAAAATCCAGGACTAGGTTAGGATGGGATTTTAGGCAGGTGAACGTCATGGGCTTGATGTCCCTTGGGGCTCGGATCCTCAAAGCCTGTTCCACATGGTAGCTGCATAGTGGTGGATTTTATGGGATTCGGGAAGGTTCCTCCTAAAATCGCTCTAGGATTGATGGTTCTGTCAATGAAAAAACGATGGAAGTAATTCCAATTGCTTCATCTATGCACTCTGTGAATAGTCGTTTAATACCGAACTACATCTATCAGTGTGACTTTATACCTTTCAGATTAAAGATGTTGCACCACTGTTAACAAAGACCAGGAAAGCCACCCATCATGCCTTGCTAAAAACAGCTCCTTACAAAGGGTGTAGTGGATTGAGCAGAAAGCAAGACAGTTGCAGGTAAATGATAAATCAGGTTGGTGCACTCGAGGGCAATTCAAGGACTTTCAAGGTCCAGAAATCCCATTTTCAAGGACCAAGATCCAACCAACATTAATGGTTAAATGGTTAATGGGAGACTTGTAAAATCAGTTGGTATTGGATCACTTGGTCCGCTCCAATTAAAAGTAAGTAAGATGGTTGGCTTATTGCAAGACATGGGCCCTTACTGGGGGTGACTTTTTTCCCCACACCCACCCAAGTAACCAGTGAAAGTAGCCCGTCAATCGCCCTGGTTGACTTATAACTTAAACCTCTGTCGTCATATTACTCTGTATGAATTAATGCTTTTTATCATAAAAGTGTGAATTTTCAAGCTCTTTCAAGGACCTATGATAAATTCCAGGACTATCAAGGACGGTACAAACCCTTCAAGAAAACAAATTGTTTGAAATTGACCGTGGCCAGCAGAAGCCAAAAAATGGCGCGTCGGTGACAGACGGACCTGTTTTCTCCCTGAAGTTCGCTTCATTTGCTGTCACATGTAGTTTTGCAGGTTTATCTTCCACTAGAGCACACCACGTAGAGGGTACTTGTGTGCCCGGTAGGCCGGGCAATGAACTTGACTCACAGCCAAAGCTTTGAAATGTTTTCTCATTTAATATATCTTTCAGTGTTCGGAGGGAGACGCCAGACAAAACAGCGGGGTCCTTTTTTCAGAGAGTGTCACAAACATCTCGGCAGCACGATTCAACGTGCTCAGGACCGAAACTCACATCTGCGACCTGCTCCGACGACCTACCTGGGAATCGGGGTCCGCCCTCCGGTAATCAATCAGAAACAGCGGCAGATTCCCCCTCCGTCCACATTACAAAAGGTCAGAGTGACAGCACCATCTCCATTGGACACAGGAATGATGCAGCATCATACCCGACATTGGAGGGAAGCACAGAAATCATGTTACACAGTCAAAATGCAGCCAGCGTGGAAGAGCCACTGACAGTCACTGAGAAGAGACACCCGGCATCATTTCAGCTGAAGCCATACGTACCGAAACATCAGAGGCACAAGGCACTCCCAGTACCTCAGCCAATCACTGGATCGGCCAACAAGAGTGGCTGCGAGATAAGGCCGTCATTGACCACCAAGCTGGGTGACACCTCTACAAGAGAACCACTACAGTTTAAATCTTCCGTGGCTGGAAGCTTAATGGTATTAAGGGACTCGGGTAGTTTGACATGTGATGTGGGTACAAAGCGAAGGGATCCCATTCCCAGTAGAGACTTATCAAAGCGTGCCGAGAGGAAAGTCTCCAAACCAACAGGCGAGTCGATGAAATGCCGCAACCCTAGGGATGACACCAGAAGAGCGGACAGGGAGAAATACCTGAAGCTGACAAGGTAAGACGAGAAACATGTCTCCCCAGATCACCAGCAAATTTCCCTGATGCAGACCGACTAAGGAATCTAGCCGACAGAAGGTGGAATTGTCAGACACTTTTTTCTCTGGTTCTAGGGATGCAAGGCCATTTATTCTTGCTTGAGCTTGTCACCAATGTTACTGCATTCTTACAAACCTCCAAACCTTACTGCAATCAGCACCCTCCAGCAACGAGTCTCCCTCGCGGACCAGGGGGGGCCCCAGCGATATGGCTCCACCCTGGATCCGTGCTGGCACCCTCTGCTGGCCAACCGGCACCAGTGCCATGCTAGCAAGAATTTGGGCTCAAGGCTGAAAACAATGGGCCCTGCAAAATCCACCGGTTTGGCGTTCGCTTGTGGCTCAACGTAATGCCTCAGAATGAGTCAAGAGTTAATAGGGTCACTTTTGAGTAAGAGAAGACTCCCGTGCAAGAAAAATAGGAACCCTAAACACTTCTACCCGCATTAAAGGCACCATGAAAAAAAAATTTACTCCGCCAGCCGCGGCGCACCCCAAGGCGCGCTCGGGCTGGCCGACCCTCAGAGCCACTGACCTACATTTACTTACGGAACCGGCATAACAAAGGGTATAGATTTGCATCATGCTTTCAAGGATGACTGCATTCAGGGTACTTGTTGGTAACTGCGATGCACCCACAGTATCACAGACACTCATCCGATGCCAGCGGTTTTCACTATTAGACTTTCATTTCTGTTGAAAATAAAAACCACTTTTGAATTTTGTCCAACAGGTTAAACAAAATCATGGAGTTGTCGCGATAGTCCACTTACAAGAAGGCATTTTTGGCTCATTTTTCTGTTACTGTGTATTATTTCTGTATTCATATTGGAGGCTTGCCGCCTGGCGTCTGGGCACACTTATAACTTCCCTCCCAGCTTGTCGAGCAACGGTCATCTACCCCCCCCTCCTCCACACTCAACTGTCAACATACCAATCACCGACACCGACCGACATCCATGTGCTCCATTTAACCCAAACATGCCAAATGTGCATTTGGAAAGGGTCGACAGATTTCATGCCTTGTGATTGGCCAACGCGTTGCATACTCTTGGTGGCGCACTATTGTGAATCGCCAAGCATTCCCCAACCCTTCCCATGTCTTCCCATGAACCTACGACATTTCTGACTTAATATTGTTGTCCTAATTGATTGCAGTTTTGCTTTGTCCCTAAACCCACCGGCTCCATCCCCGCTTTTTGTGTTGTTCAAGCGGGCTCACTATGACTCCTTGCCCAACAAGTCCTTACTATTTCTCTTGCCGAGATGGACACAGTCTGAATGGTATTACCCATCATACAGTCGCCTTTCTCATCTTGGCATACTATTATGGATAGTTTAAATCTTCGCCATTCAGCGATGATAACTTACAAAGTCTGGCATATCGCGAGATATGTCTTCGGCCGAGTAGGACCTCATGTCCACTCTGAAATATATCTGCAGCTACGCCAACGGGCATGGAACAAACGGCATGCAATCCCCTCAAGTCTCAGCTTCCCTGATTCCCAAATGACTGGTTCCTCCGGTTCCTCAATTAATATTAATGATTATGTTATATTAATATAGTCCAGTTCTTTTTAGATAATCCGGACTGTCCTTTGACAATCCTCCCCAAATCTCAAATGAGCTCTTAATAATCGGCAGGTTCAAATAACAGAGACTACACAAGAACTACACTAACCCACCGCACTGGTATGCTGTTCTATTCAGGCCATATTACGCTAATTCGCAAGAATTACTGGCGCCCATATCTGGGATTCTTCCCCCGATTGCTACATCCTTTAAGTTGTACTACACCAAATATGTGCCCATAGAAAACAGTGCAAAATCGAACCGAAATAGCGCCGCCTGTAGACTCTCGTGAAGAGGTTGGCCTCCGATTTTTACTGGAAATTCAAGATTATGGCCAAAAGATCACTTTTCGTTTAAATTTCAGGGGGGTTAGCCACGAAAATCATTTTCTATTTGCCTTTCAAGGAATCACAAAATATTAATGAGCTCACGCGCAGAAATACAACCATTGGTGGAATGCACCCTTTAGCTTGTAAGCCGCCCCGAGCTGAAGTGCACCCCCAATCGGCGAAAGAAAGACGTGGTTACAAGCGGGTTCTTGCACGCGTTCTGCGTGTACGCGAAGACCATCCGGTTCGTAAGTGTGACGTCACTTCAGTTTAAACCACGACAACTGCACGTGCACTGCACATAGAGTTACATGCATTGATGGCCGTTTTCATAGAACCACGGAACCGGAAGTTAACGCGCAACTTCAGCGATCGTCCAATGGAAGCCTGCAAATCGTGGCGCGTCCGCCTTTCTGACGAAGTCACTTACGAACCGGTAATTACTTACGCGTACTCAGCGTGCTCCACGTTAAACGCGCATATACTTGCGCGCCTCGTGGCGATAGGTGATTTTCCGCGTTTTGCCATGAAAAACCATACCCAGGTCTTGTGTAGTTGGTTTCGGACAGACCTGTCCCCAAATTTAGACTTCGTCTGTTCCTTGCTCTACAATATATTTAAAAAAAAGTTCCAGCAATCCATCGTCTTCAGAAGCAAGCTAGCTGAGGATCTTAGAGAGTATTGGGGGGGGGGGGAACAGGTGGACTGTCCCGCCGATCGCACGAAATTTGCACGTATCAGTAATTCCATTGCAGACTGTGTGTGTTCCTGACGTTTCACCAAGTGGTGCACCCCTGGGAATGGTGCACGGTCACTAACCAGACTCCTACTCAAACTCTTTTATTTTTCCAGTTTGGTTTCTCTTAAGATCCAGAGGCCAATTTCATAGCGCTGCTTAAGCAAAAATTTGTTAAGCGTGCAAAATACCTTGCTTGACAAATCAGGTTGCTAGCCAAAACTTTTCGAGATGTATATTGTTTTAGAATGGTTTTTACCTGGTTTTGGTTAGCATGACAGTCACATAGAGTTCGAGCTGGTAACCTTTGTTTATTAAGCAAGGTTCTTTCCATGCTGAAGCAACTTCTGTGCTTAAGCAGCTCTATGAAATTTGCCCCTGGCAGGCCCCTTTTCTTTATAAAGGCGATGAACTGTTCTCGCACGTGCAACTTTACACTCTTTTCCTTGTATGAAAATTGCATTTTATATCCGTGTTTGGGTACAAGTTTTGAAAAGTGCACTTTTTCCAGCGTTGGAAATTGTCCGTGCTTTAATGGACAACTGAGGGTTCCGTTTCTACGGTGATGTCAGTCAGGGAAGAAACTGTTTAGTTTACAGGTTTTTTTTTCTTCGAAACATTCTGAGACAGGATTGTTCATACATATACATGTAGTCCATTGCCATGCCCTTATACGCAACAATGAATCCCAAAAGAAACGGACATTTAGGCCAGAAAAGAATTTTTGAAAATTCCACCTTTTTGTGCACACACCAGTACAACATCGTGACAGATTTCTTCAAGGGATGACTTCACTGTTTTGGATCAAAATGATGGAAGTGCTCATGAGCATAAACTCGAAAAGCTAAAAAGCACCAGCTAACATTTACCTTTGACACACTTACACACAAACTTGATTTGTATTCTTTGATATGGGCACACAGGTGCACGTTACAAGAAAAAGCACTGCCCACAATCCTGTCTCAGCTTTGGACTAAAAATCAGTCACATGATTTTTGGCACATACATTTGGTGCCTCATTTTGACCTTGAAAGAACCCTTTAATCGAAGCAAAATATGTTCCAGGCCATGTGACTGTACTTGTTTTGGGGCCCGTACATTTCAATGTAATCCAGTCCCCTAATCCAATTTCATGTTTACAGCATGTACATGTAGTTTTTCTGCTAATACCTTTCAATGTCAGTTTACACCTAAACATTCAGATCCTGTGATACATTATGTGGGTGTGACATTTCAGAGCTTTAAGTTAAAACTTGTTTAAAAAGAGAATCATACACCATATGTATTTTCAGCATTGGCAAGCTCTTGAAAAAATATACGCTGTACCCACAGAGATCCACTTCCACGAATGTGCCAGTTGTTCCCCTTTCTTGTACACGCAAATACAACCTCTGTAATTACTCCACTGATGTAACCACGGAATACCACCTCCACTTTGTCTTCACCAGTTCATCCTGAGAATTCCACTTCCACTGGGCGAATCCACCTGCGCTGCAGCGCGCTGGCATATCCACAGAGTTCCACTCCCACTGTATACAGCACCTTGTCACATAATCTATAAAAAAGAAATTCCTTCTCATTCTGTACACAAATAAGGCTGTCACCTACATTAATTTGTATACCCTTATGCTTAACGTTTAATTGCAGTTTTGGTTCGTCCCTTGTAAAACCACGACATGTCTTCCCATGAACCTACTCGACACAACATTTCTGACTTAATTTTGTTGTCCTAATTGATTGCAGTTTTGCTTCGTCCCTAAACCCATCGGCTCCATCCCCGCTGCATGTGTTGTTCAAGCGGGCTCACTATGACTCCTTGCCCAGCAAGTCCTTACTATTTTTCTTGCCGAGATGGACACAGTCTGAATGGTATTACCCATCATACAGTCGCCCTTCTCATCTTGGCATACTATTATGGATAGTTTAAATCTTCGCCATTCAGCGATGATAACTTACAACGTCTGGCATATCGCGAGATATGTCTTCGGCCGAGTAGAACCTCATGTCCACTCTGAAATATATCTGCAGCTACGCCAACGGGCATGGAACAAACGGCATGCAATCCCCTCAAGTCTCAGCTTCCCTGATTCCCAAATGACTGGTTCCTCCGGTTCCTCAATTAATATTAATGATTATGTTATATTAATATAGTCCAGTTCTTTTTAGATAATCCGGACTGTCCTTTGACAATCCTCCCCAAATCTCAAATGAGCTCTTAATAATCGGCAGTTCCAAATAACAGAGACTACACAAGAACTACACAAACCCACCGCACTGGTATGCTGTTCTATTTAGGCCATATTACGCTAATTCGCAAGAATTACTGGCGCCCGTATCTGGGATTCTTCCCGATTGCTACATCCTTTAGGCTGTACAGCACCAAATATGCGCCCATAGAAAACAGTGCAAAATCGAACCGAAATAGCGCCACCTGTTGACTCTCGTGAAGAGGTTGGCCTCCGATTTTTACTGGAAATTCAAGATTATGGCCAAAAGATAACTTTTCGTTTAAATTTCAGGGGGGTTAGCCACGAAAATCTTTTTCTATTTGCCTTTCAAGGAAGATATCCCCCATCAGTAAAACTAAGCGCTCATTTCTGAATGTAGCCGCCCGCTTCTATCCAAAATAAGTCCGCATTTTGGGGCTTTTTGTGAAAGAAATACCCCGAACTGGAAATTATCAGTCCCAAATTCGGGATTTATAGAAATATTTCTAGCATGTCTTATTGTAAAAACCCCGTGGAATCACAAAATATTAATGAGCTCACGCGCAGAAATACAACCATTGGTGGAATGCACCCTTTAGCCTGTAAGCCGCCCCGAGCTGAAGTGCACCCCCAATCGGCGAAAGAAAGACGTGGTTACAAGCGGGTTCTTGCACGCGTTCTGCGTGTACGCAAAGACCATCCGGTTCGTAAGTGTGACGTCACTTCAGTTTAAACCACGACAACTGCACGTGCACTGCACATAGAGTTACATGCATTGATGGCTGTTTACATAGAACCACGGAACCGGAAGTTAACGCGCAACTTCAGCGATCGTCCAATGGAAGCCTGCAAATCGTGGCGCGTCCGCCTTTCTGACGAAGTCACTTACGAACCGGTAATTAGTTACGCGTACTCAGCGTGCTCCACGTCAAACGCGCATATACTTGCGCGCCTCGTGGCGCGACTGTGCAGCGAGTACCAATAAAACAACCCCGCTTTTGTTCCGCTCCTAGCGGATAGGTGATTTTCCGCGTTTTGCAATGAAAAACCATACCCAGGTCTTGTGTAGTTGGTTTCAGACAGACCTGTCCCCAAATTTAGACTTCGTCTGTTCCTTACTCTACAATATATATAAAAAAGTTCCAGCAATCCATCGTCTTCAGAAGCAAGCTAGCTGAGGATCTTGGAGAGTATTGGGGGGGGGGGAACAGGTGGACTGCCCCGCCGATCGCACGAAATTTGCACGTATCAGTAATTCCATTGCAGACTGTGTTTGTTCCTGACGTTTCACCAGGCGGTGCACCCCTGGGAATGGTGCACGGTCACTAACCAGACTCCTACTCAAACTCTTTTATTTTTCCAGTTGGGTTTCTCTTAAGATCCAAAACTTCTTGGGATGTGTATTGTTTTGGGGTGATTTTTACCTGGTTTTGGTTAGCATGACAGTCACATAGAGTTTGAGCTGGTAACCTTTGTTTATTGAGCAAGGTTCTTTCCATGCTGAAGCAACTTCTGTGCTTAAGCAGCTCTATGAAATTTGCCCCTGGCAGGCCCCTTTTCTTTATAAAGGCGATGAACTGTTCTCGCACGTGCAATTTTACACTCCTTTTCCTTGTATGAAAATTGCATTTTATATCCGTGTTTGGGTACAAGTATTGAAAAGTGCACTTTTTCCAGCGTTTGAAATTGTCCGTGCTTTAATGGACAACTGAGGGTTCCGTTTCTGTGATGTCAGTCAGGGAAGAAACTGTTTAGTTTACAGGTTTTTTTTTTTTTTTCGAAACATTCTGAGACAGGATTGTTCATACATTTACATGTAGTCCATTGCCATGCCCTTATACGCAACAATCAATCCCAAAAGAAACGGACATTTAGGCCAGAAAAGAATTTTGAAAATTCCACCTTTTGTGCACACATCAGTGCAACATTGTGACAGATTTCTTCAAGGGATGACTTCACTGTTTTGGATCAAAACGATGGAAGTGCTCATGAGCATAAACTCGAAAAGCTATAAAGCACCAGGTAACATTTACCTTTAACACACTTACACAAAAACTTGATTTGTATTCTTTGATATGGGAACACAGGTGCACGTTACAAGAAAAAGCACTGCCCACAATCCTGTCTCAGCTTTGGACTAAAAATCAGTCACATGATTTTTGGCAAATACATTTGGTGCCTCATTTCGACCTTGAAAGAACCCTTTAATCGAAGCAAAATATGTTCCAGGTCATGTGACTGTCCTTGTTTTGGGGCCGGTACATTTCAATGTAATCCAGTCCCCTAATCCAATTTCATGTTTACAGCATGTGCATGTAGTTTTCTGCTAGTACCTTTCAATGTGACTTTAATGACTTCATATAGAGTCAACAACCAGGGGTGCATACAGCAGGGGAAAGGTTTCACAGTTGTTTTTTTGGGGGGGGGGTTTGCATGAGGGGCATTGAGAGTATTTGGTACTGTTGTTGAATCCAGTAAATCCTCGTGTTTTATCCTGAACCGAATTCGCAAAATAAGATCACAACAGGGTGAATGCTTTTCAGGAGAGCCTGCAACATTTAGACATCAGCCGCTTAAAAGAAATGGCAATGGATAGGGGAGGTTAATCCCCCCCTTCTGCGCCTGACAATCTGCTATTCTGTAGGTTTGATACAATGTACATACAGTTATGCTCAAAACTGTAGGAGAATAACATACTTTCCTAAATTCTTCTTTTGCAAAAGCTGTTATGTTCTTACTTTCACTATATCTTTTGTCAATTTGATGCAATACACAAACCCGCACATGTGTTGGCTAAATTTCACATTCATACTAACAGATAAGGCCCAGGTTTCTCTTTTGCTCCTGGTCAAAATTATTCATGCCACAGGTTTACATTGTCCATTGTCTTTTCTTAATAGTCAAATAGCGTAGCCTTCGTTCTTGATGACCGCCTCTAGACGGTCCCTATAACTGTGTGTCTCCTGTATGTGGGATACTGGCCCACTCTTCCTTGACGAGAGCCTCCAGCTGGGTCAGGTTGGATGGTCTCCTGGCTATA